TTATTCATCTTTTATATTATTATCATTTATATCTATTTTCATTTTATATTTATTCTCTTTTGATTTATATTAATATTAAATTTATCTTTTATACTTTGATTTTATGATTATATCATTGACTATCATTTCTCCTTTTATTTATCATTTATTCTTATTATTCTTTTGTTTTTTTCTATATTCTATATCATATATTCATATCATTTTCATTTATATTTTATATTTTATTATATATTATAATAACATAACACATATGATTGATTATATAATAAACATCATGTTTAAATTATACATATAAATAATAAACATAAAAAAGAGTAAAATATTTTTCATTAATAAAATATTGTTAATCATTTTACACAATTAAATTAGACACTTATTATTGAATATTTCTAATTTTTACATTAAAAATACACCATTTTCATTCTTTTCTTCTTTTATCATCTCTTTGTGATTTATTATTTTTATATTCTTCTTCTACTTTATTTTTATTCTTTTATATATTTTTATTCTTTTTATATTATTTGTTTTTCGTTGTTTTTCTATTTCTTTCTTCTATTATTTATCACTTTTATATTCATTTATTCTTTTTATTTCTTTTTTATTAATTCTTGAGTATTGTATATTTCTTTATTATTTCATTTGTGTATTATCAAAATATATGTTTTATTGATTTTATGTTGAATAAAATATTGAATAAATCAATATTTTCATTCTTAATTATTCATTCTTTATTCTGAAATGTTGTGTATATTTATTATATTAAATGAATATGATGAATGAATATCAATATTATTGTTTATTTGATTTTAAAAAAATAATAAATGAATATGAAATAATAAATGAAATAAAATAATGAAGACAATGAAATGATAATGAAATAGAATAATCTAATATTGAACAAATCAAATAAAGAATATATTGAATATATCATTATTGTTACTTTATTATTTGTTATTTCAATTATTAAATATTAATAAATTATTCATGAATATTTAATTGATATTTTACAATTTCATTTTCATTTTATTTAATAAATGAAATATAAATAATAAATGAATGAATAATAATGTAATATATGAAATAATAAAAAGAAAGATAAATAATAAAGAAATATGATGTATTTAATATATAATATAATTTATTATCAAATATAATAATAATATCAAATGATGAATTATTTTTATTTCAAAATATTTTGCATCAATAAAATATGTTGCTAAATATTTTGCATCATTAAATTTTGCATCATTAAATTTTGCGCTTTTTTTATTTGTTTCAATAAAATTTGCATCCTTTATTTTTTTTCTTTCTTTTCTTCTTTTATCATCTCTTTTGTTTTATTACACTTTATCTTCTTTCTTTTTATATTCTCTCCTTTCTACTTTTATTCTTTCTTCATCATCTTCTACTTTTTACTTTCTTTTTATTCTTTTATATCATTCATTCTCTTCTTTTTCAATTATTTGCTTTTTTTCGTTGCCATTTCATTATCACAATCAATAATTTAAATTTAATTCTACAGAAAATAAATAAAAATATTCACTAACACAATATAAAAACAAGAAAAGATAAAGATAAAATATATGGAATGGATAAAAGAATAAAACTAATCTAATAATGATATGAATACTATTTTATATTACAATAACATGGAGATAAATGAAGAAAAGAAAATGATTATAAAGAACAAAAGAATAGAATAAAGAAAAGTTAAAATAAACGAAGTAATAAACTGAAATAAATGATTCAGAAGATATTAAATTAAATAAAGAAATGAAAAATGAAAAATATTATAAAAGAAATTAAAAACTTTATACTAAAAAACATAACTACTGAATGTCATGGAACATTAACTCTATCACATTCAAAAATATTTTGTAATACTTCTAGATGAAAATTCATTAATGAAATTAATCTCATTTAATCAATAATTATTATTACTTTTTCTATTTTATTTATTTTTGAAGTGATGATAAACCTAATAAAAAAGAAATTTATTCATATAAATTATCATTGATATTATTTTAATAATTATGCCAATAAGTCATCATTTGATATTATAATTTAAAATAGTTTGTTAAGGATTTTTATTTGGTTAACAATCAAAAACAGAAGAATAATTATTTCATTTGAAGTACAATAAACCTATTGACAACAAACTCTTTTGAAGAGAATGAGCCAATAAAATTTCCTTTTCTTGTTTCAATACATTTTTGAATATCAAGAGAAACAGAACTAATTCCTTCAACAGGGTTTTTCTGGATATTAATATACCTTCCTAATTGGAAGATAGTTTTATCATTATCATAAGATATCCTAAAAACTTCCCTTTCTTGAACTCCTTTAAGGAATTTGTATACCCAAAAGAATTGGTCTTCAGCAAAACAATAAAAGAAAGAATGAATATCGCCATTCCAACCTTCTTTTTTAAATGGATGATTAATATAACACCCAAATGGTTCATAATAAATAGGAAAAACAACAACCATCAATTTTTTTAGTCCTTCTAGCTTTTGACCTAAAGTGTATTTATCCCAACCATCAAGATTTGAGTCATATATTTGAGTCGAACTGTTTGCACAAACCCTATTATATACTTTACTTATACACCGATAAATAAGGGCTTCATTCATTTCATTTGTTCTTTCAATTTTTTGTTTTGACTTTCTTTCACTCATTGGTTTGACAATAGGTTTTTTCTCTTTAGTGTAATTGTTTTGTTCTTTAGGAGAATATTCCCCATCACTTTCTATAAATGTTAATGGATTTCTTTGTGAGTCAATTGCTTTCATCTCTTCATAACATCTTTCTTGTACAATTCGCATTCTTCTTACTTCTTCATTTTGTTTTTGGATTTGACGTGTAGCTAATTCAGCCATTTCTTGGAACTGAATAATAAGTTGTTTTCTTTTATTAATCATAACACTACAGTTGTCAGAGAGATTTTCTAATTCAGAATATCTTAGTTCTCGAAAATTATTACATTTTGTTCTTCGATCAAAATCATCAAAGTCAGCTGAGACATATTCCCATAATTGTTTGTATCTTTCAAAACAATGGTCTATATCTTCTTTAATTCTTTTACCTATTGCTTTTGTTTTAAGTATTTGAAAGTCCATTAATTCGAAGATTAAATCTTTTTAAGTTCAATTTTCATGGTTTTCGTTTATGATTTAATTGTTATTAAAAATATGTATTAAGTATTTTTAGAAAACCCAATAAAACAAAAAAAAATTATATAAAACACAATTTAAGTAAAGAAGGATTTACACAACGTTCAGGAGATGATAAGACTTTATTACAATTAGTTGGTACATCTTCAATGTAAGAGACTGAAAGACCATGATCTAATATATCACTAATTTCAGAATCCTCTTCATCTTCGTATAATTCTTCCAATCTTTCAATAAGACGATCTATAGTAAGTTGTCCAAGAACAGGTACATGAGAAGTAGGTGAATTATTTCTTTCTTGAGAAGGTTTTTTAGGATGAACACGAAGTTCAATAAGAGAAGAGTCGCTAAGTCGTGGCATATTAGAATAAATGAAATGATATATAAGATACGAGAGAAGAATAAATAGTGCAGTGATTGTAGAAAACAAAACTACTTTCATTTTAAGGTTTGTATAATTCTGTTGAAAAGAAGCTTAAAATAGTATTTTTTTTTTCATCTACTTTCAAAAAAAAAGTATCTTGTTATTAAACTTCTTCTCCTGCTATCAGCTCTACTCCTTTCTATTCTATTTTTTGCTTTGTCCTATTAATGAATTAGAAGGTGCTATGAAAACGAAGAATACCCCTTATGAAGGATATTTTCTTTTCATTTTCTTTTTCTTTCAATAGGTTAAAAATACTCTTTTTCTTACTAAAAAAAAAGTTAAATTATTATAGAAATCTACTTCTATTGCGTCGGAATTTTATTGGTATGATTTGAATTTAAAGTTAAAAATAAAATTTAACGAAAAGATTCATGTTTTTCTTTTTCAGGAAAATAATTTTTTTTCCAATTTTGTTATTTTGTTAGTTGTTGACAATTTGATACTAATTTTAGTTCTTCATGCTTCTACCGAATCATTCTTCGGTTTTTTCTTAACTACCACCAAATGAATCTTTCTTCTCGTTTTCATTTTTACCTTAAACATCATATTTCAATATATCAACGAATAGTTGTTTTGGATTCAATAGCAAAACATTTCGAAGATTTAATTGCAGAAGAAATTAATAGAAATTTAAATATTACAATTTATTATTTTATTAGCTTGTTTTTTAATAATAATAGAAAAAATAATCATTTAAGATTTAATAGTCAATTTAGTTAATCTATTTATTCATATTTTTGAATTAAAAATTCAAGAAGTATGTTATGAGCATGTACTGCATTTTAGTGATAATAATCTTAATTTTGTTTATTATTTGAATTTAAGTTATATTAAGTAATAATTAATTGTTTTATAGATAAAAAAACAGTATCAATTTTATCATTTAATCCTAAAACAATATAATATTAAATAATTATTAAAAAACAATCATTCTTAATGCATGGATATGTTTTACTTATTCTTTTAAGTTATAGAATAATATAAATGATGTATTGCTATTTTATATCTAAATGGTTATTCTAGTAGACTTGTCAAATGTATTTTTTATATTAGTTGGTCTATGAGTTATTTATTAATTTCTATGAAAGAGTTGGATTTTTTTATAATAAATTAGATGTATTTAAACGAATACTATTTTATTGATATGAACTTTTGTTTGAGAGTATATTACTCATTAATTTTTCTTGTATAATAGTTATGTTTTAAAAACACTTGTGTTTAAAAATAATCACTATATTTTCGGCAACGAAAAAAAGCAAATAATTGAAAAAGAAGAGAATGAATGATATAAAAGAATAAAAAGAAAGTAAGAAGTAGATGAAGATGAAGAAAGAATAAAAGTAGAAAGGAGAGAATATAAAAAGAAAGAAGATAAAGTGTAATAAAACAAAAGAGATGATAAAAGAAGAAAAGAATGAAAAAAATAAAGGATGCAAATTTTATTGAAACAAATAAAAAAAGTGCAAAATTTAATGATGCAAAATTTAATGATGCAAAATATTTAGCAACATTTTTATGGATGCAAAATATTTTGAAATAAAAATAATTCATCATTTGATATTATTATTATATTTGATAATAAATTATATTATATATTAAATACATCATATTTCTTTATTATTTATCTTTCTTTTTATTATTTCATATATTACATTATTATTCATTCATTTATTATTTATATTTCATTTATTAAATAAAATGAAAATGAAAATGTAAAATATCAATCAATTAAATATTCATGAATAATAATTTATTAATATTTAATAATTGAAATAACAAATAATAATGTAACAATAATGATATATTCAATATATTCTTTATTTGATTTGTTCAATATTAGATTATTCTATTTCATTATCATTTCATTGTCTTCATTATTTCATTATTTCATATTCATTTATTATTTTTTAAAATCAAATAAACAATAATATTGATATTCATTCAACATATTCATTTAATATAATAAATATACACAACATTTCAGAATAAAGAATGAATAATTAAGAATGAAAATATTGATTTATTCAATATTTTATTCAACATACATTCAATAAAACATATATTTTGATAATACACAAATGAAATAATAAAGAAATATACAATACTCAAGAATTAATAAAAAAGAAATAAAAAGAATAAATGAATATAAAATTGATAAATAATAGAAGAAAGAAATAGAAAAACAACGAAAAACAAATAATATAAAAAGAATAAAAATATATAAAAGAATAAAAATAAAGTAGAAGAAGAATATAAAAATAATAAATCACAAAGATGTAATAAAAGAAGAAATAAAAAGTGTAATTTTAATGTAAAAATTAGAAATATTCAATAAAAGTGTCTAATTTAATGATTCAAAATAATTAATATTGTTTTATTGAAAAAAAATATTGTATTATTTTTTATGTTTATTATTTATATGTATAATTTAAACATGATGTTTATTATATATTCAATCATATGTGTTATGTTATTATAACATATAATAAATGATAAAATATAAATGAAAATGATATGAATATATGATATAGGATATAAAACAAAAGAATAATAAGAATAAATGATAAATAAAACGAGAAATGATAGTCAATGATATAATAATAAAATCAAAATATAAAAGATAAATTTAATATTAATATAAAACAAAAGAGA